AGACAGGTGGACTGAGGACAGACAGGTGGACACAGAGAGACAGGTACCTTGTAGGTGACACAGATGCTGGAGTAGTTCCAGAAGGAGCAGATGTCACAAGTCGGACACATGACGAAGCCGTCTCCACTGTCACACACCTCCTTCCTGCAAACACACACACACACATATAGTTTTACCAGGTGTGTAACTATAGATAAGATAAAGCTGAGGGACGTCATTGGACATATGACCCCGTCACTTAAGGTGATGATGTCACATGTCATGATGTCATGTGTGATGATGTTCTAACTTACGCTGGAACATCAGTGACCATGAGCCAAATCCCAACCATGAAGATCAGGGTCCCCAGAAGAGATGCCGGTAACAGCCAAGCAGTGTAGAAACCTACAGACACAGTTACCATGGAAACCTACAGTCAGACACAGTTACCATAGTTGCTATAGAAACCACCATGTTTATATCAGACGTTAGAAACAGTTACTATGGAAACAATGGTTTGTCAGTGGTGTTGCTGTAGTTACCGAGCCAGGCAAAGTAGAGTGCGATCTTCTCTCCGAAGTACTCCCTGATGTGGTCCAGAGGCTGGTAGCTCCTCCAGCAGGACCACCGGGCCCAGTGCGAGTACAGAATCTGTCTGAGGCTGTAAGACTGGGGAGGCACCGGGGGGGTCGGCAGCTGAAAACCACCCTGCAAACAGAAACTTGAATCAAAAGCCTGGATGTGGTCATTTAGTGCAGGGAGTGAATTGAGGCCGGTTGTAAACGCACCTCGTGCAGCGGATACGCAGCCGTGAAGACCTTCTCGCTCAGCAGACGGTCGATTCCCACCTGCCCCTTGTTCACAGAACCGTACGGAGTCCGGGCCAGAATCTCATAGAGCTGAAAGAACGTGACTCAGTTAGTCCAGAGACTCCAGATGCAGTCCTGATCCAGATCCACTAACATGTGACCTCCTGCTCGAGACTTTAAATAAAATGACTTGATGACAGTGTCTCAATCGCCCCCTGGTGTTTGGCTGCAGTATAGGTGATAAACTCCTCCATGTAAGAAGATGGGACATGGTTCTATAAAAACAAGACGTTCAATCATTTTGGTCAAATGAACTCTTATGTTATGTTGAAGCAGCTCGAAGTTTGTTGACAAACACCGACTGACGGGACAGATGGATGTGAGCAGAGTGAACAGTGTGTGTGTGTGTGTGTGTGTGTGTGTGTGTGTGTGTGTGTATGTATGTGTGAGTGAGTGTGTGTATGTGTGTGTGTGTGTGTGTGTGTGTGTTTGTGTGTGTGAGTGAGTGTGTGTATGTGTGCGTGTGTGTGTGTTTGCAGTAGGTGTGGCCGCCTGCAGCATCCGTCTGTCTGTTGACTGAAACATCCTGGATTCTGAGGACGTCTTTAAGAACCAATCAGCTGCCTGGAACAGGCCGACGCGTCCCCCAGTCTATGAACTCTGTTCAGACCAGGATCAGGATGAGATGATGTCGTCAGAATCAGAACAGATGTGCTCAGGTTCTTTATTTCTTCATGTGACTGTGTCATTTATACAAACTGACGGAAGAAACAAATCCATTTATTTCATTATTGAATTATCTGATTCAATCTGCTGGTTTTGGCGCCAACATAGAAATAAAGAAATAGTTTTTGGTCCGTTCTTTCTTTTCCTGTTCCCGGTGAAATGACCTCAAGGAAACAGAAGATGACTCAGCATGTTTTGGAACATGTTTGTTTGGTTTCAATGTTTTTTTGCCTCTCGACTGTTTGAAAACTTCATTTGACAAACAAAGAATCTCTGAGTCACAATGTTTTAAACTACCTGAACTCCTCCAGGGTCAGAACATGATTTGCATGTTCGCGGAGCACACGTCGATGTATGTTCATCATCATTGTGTAGCGTGAAACAAGAAGAGCTTTGTGTTTGATGAGCAGAGCCTGGAGCTGCAGATGAGCTGAGGTGGATGGTGTCAAGTGAGTTTAGGAGATATATTTTATGACCTAGTTTGTACTGTGATCACATATTCCTAATGAAGTTTGTATAATAAACCGACTGACATGCACATGGACCTCGGGGCCACACAGATGCTGGTCACATGCCTGGTTTTTGACAGGTTGCGTTGCGTGTACATGTAGTTTACTGAAGGTTCCTGAACTCACCACCTGGTGTCTCTGAGTCGTCTTGAAAAATGTCTCTTGGTCGTCGCTTCCCAGAAACCTGGAAAAACAAGATTTAATAAAGTCTCCAGTGACTTTCACTTCTCCTCTGACACTCACAGGACAACGTCTCACAGAACTAAACTTAACACTACGTTAGTTTGGATTCCATTTATATTTCATCTTTCATTTATATTAGTTTACTTATTCTGAATTTACAGGTGTGTATATTATAATCTTTGCTGCTGTAACACAGAAACATTCCCCATTGTGGGACTAATTAAAGATTATCTTAACTTATCTTAACTCTTCAACTTCCATTACAACTTCTTTCAGTAGCTGTGTAACCTATATTTTTCATTTCATTAACATTAGAGACACTTTTTCTTGTGTATACAATCACTCAACATTTTACAACTTAAGTGTCTGTAGTTAATTCAAACGGCTTTGGAGTCAAACAAGTTCTAATTTCCCAAAGAAGTTGTGTCTGGATAAACTGAATGTCTGTGTGTTGACCTCTGCAGCTTGTTGGTCCTGAACTGACAGGTGTAGTAGCACAGTGGGGGGTTGGGGACATCCTGGGACAGAATGTTGGGGAGGGACAACCAGGACAGAAGCTGCTCAGACCAGGAAATATTTGGAGAGTTGACCACCTGCAGGAGAAAACAGGTGAGGACACCGATTTGTGTTTGAACAGCGGAGGAGGACGAGGTGTTATACCTGCAGAGGGACTCTCAGACTGATCTCCTCGGCGTAATAACAGAGGACGCTCCATGGAGCGCTGAGGAGGACGAAACGAATCCTCCTCTTCGTCTGAAGGACTGTTTTCTGCAGAGAGAAACAGAAACTAATTCAATCATCTCTGTCCAACAGAAGGTTTTCTAGATTAGTTGATGACTCTTCATTCTCCTCTGTGGAGTCCCACAAGGTTCAATACTGGGTCCAGTCCCTTTCTCTGTTTCTGTGGGTCTCAAACACTAAAATACTCTGTTTCTTATCAAGCTTACACAAAACCTCACATCACTACCACCATGAGAACTGATGTTGAGGTTTTACATTTCTTTAACAGTTTGACTGTTTGTTATTTGACTGAGTTGAAGCCGGATCCTTACATTTCAAAATAGACTTCCATGTTTGCCGCCATTGTTTTCTGCAAAGAATCTTGGATCATTTCCCCTGAAAGGAATCAACTAACTGGACCCTTCAACATACGGATGCAAGTGGTAGCTGACGGATAAACTTAGCAATATGTCGCATCATACATATTTATATATAGATATATAGATATATGTATACATATGTATATATATATGTTTTCATTTGTCTACGAAGGTAAATGCTCAGATTACTTCCTGGAGGGGTTTGTTTTAATCACCTGTTCCTGCAGCAGCCCACAGAGTTTCAGTTTGCTCAGAAACTCCTCCCTCCACTTCAGGTGGGCGGGAATAACACCTGCACTCTCCTCATTCTGTGAGCCTCGAGGCTCCTCCCACACCAAGACGAAATCTGTCCAATAGGAGCAGAGCAGTCAAACCCTCACTGATGTCATCGTTGGTGAAGTGAACCACCATCACTGCCTCTTCGACTCTTTCCTGCTCCTGCTCCGTGAATCGTTCCTGTTCCATGTTTGTTCACTCACCGACTCGAGTCGATCCATCGCTGAACACATTCCGGTCTGGAGGCTGAACAGGTGCTCTCTGGGAAATAAAAACTGAATCAGCACAGGTAGAAGTTTTACAAGTTAAAACCATTTGTTGTTGTAAGTAATGTTCAGGAAACCTTCGATATTAATGAAGTGAACCGGTGCAACAGACACTGGACGGACAAAGGTTCAGAGACACAGCGTCAACTGACGAAACTCAACCTTTCTCTCTGGGACACGTGTCAACAACAGGATGTTTCCATTAGTTTACAGATTGGACTTCCTGCTGCTCATGTCTCCGCCCATGTTAATGACACCGATGACAAACATCTACTGTTCTTCATCCGCTAAGTGTGATGTCATCACACACTTCCTGTTTCCTGTTTCCTGCTGCAGTGACTTTCATTAGACTGTTGCTGAACTCAACTCTAATGATGCTATGCTAATCTGTTACCATGGTGATACTGCTGTAGCTCTCCTGCTTGGTTTCCATGTCGATCAGTGTGGTGCTGTCCCCCTCCATCTGATCCCCCCTCCTCCTCATCCTCCTACTGCAGATCTACACACACACACACACACACA